TTTCCTGCGGGAGGCGCCGGGCCGGCCTTGGAAGAGGAGGGGAGGAGGAGAAAGGGGGCAGGGGGCAGTGGGAGCCACCGTCCGGAGAGCCGGGGACCGCACAGGACCAGCCGGACCCCGGCCAGGCAGCCGCGAGAGGTGAGGCTGCGGGGGTCCGCGCCCTTGGGGGCAGACACAAACTAACTTTTCCTGTGGGATCGGCGGGCGCCTCCATCTCCCTGCCCCTTCCGTCCTCCGCGCGCCCCCTTTCCCAGTCCTCTGGCTGCGCTCCCCTTGGCGCTTGGCCCTTCGGAGCCTTCCCGCCGCTTTGTTCCTCTGCCGGCCTGCGCTGGGCCGGGCTGGGGGTCGCGCGGCTTTGCAGGGGCATTCCGTGGGGCGGGGGAGCCAGCCCGACCCTCGGCGCTGCCCGCCGCCGGCTGTGAAGGACAGTGCCCTTTGGTTTGGGCGTGGGACGTTTGGGGCGGGGTGGGGGGCGAGTCGTCCCCCCCAGGGCCCTAGGCCTGCATGGGCGCATGCCACGGGACGCGGGCAGCAAAGCCTGGTCGCCGAGGTACTGGTGACGGCTTTTCTGTGGGCCTCAGTGTGAGGCATGGGGGCCCACGGAGCTGGCTTGCCAGCGGGGCCCCCAGCCCTGTGCCTGTGCTGCGCCCAGCTGCACCCTTACCCCACACAGAGTAAGGGTGGGTCAGCAACAGGTGCCGGTGAACCTCTCCCTTCTGAAGAAGGACCTTCCACCCACCGTGGGGAAGCCATCATATCAGCTCCCTGTGACAACCCCGGCTCATAAAGAGCTGGGGGCCAGAGCTCCCTGTTGTTGAAGTCAAGCATAGATAACGAGACCAGCAGGGTCAGGCACCTTCCACACGGAGTAGCCAACTCCTGTCCCCACGCTGAGCCTTGCCCACCCAGGCCCACTTGCCAACTGGCCTGCTAGTTGTCTGTGGGTGTCAGGGCCTCGGGCTGTGGAGAACAGGCTGTTGGCGCCGCCTCTCCCCTGGTCGTGCCGCCAGGACACTTCTGCCCCAGGTTGAGGTGCTGCCAGGTACCCTGGGGCACAGGTGACTCAGCCTCCCTCCCAGCACACCTAGCCCTCCACAGCCTCTCCCCTCCCTGCGGCACCCTCTCTCCTTTGAGGGGTTCAGCCCCTCCCCTGGCCCCTGGAGAAATCTAGGGTGATTTGGGGGCTCCCTGGAGGCTCCACCCAGCTCATCCATCATCCGAGCCCTGCCTCTGGGACCCTTGCAGGCTGGGACACCTTGGCCAGACCCCTGAGACGGACATGTTCACGGCCCAAGGGAATGCTGGCTGCTCCCTGGGAGGGTACTAGTGCTCCCAAGCCAAGCTGGGCCGAGTGGCGGGCCCAGTCCCAACGCCAGCGCGTCCCGGGCTGTCGGAAGCTGCAAGCTGACATCCGTCCAAATTTCCACACAGCCTCCGCCCCCTCGGAGATCAGCTTTCCTTCCTTCGTGTGGTGGCAGCACCTTGAGGGAGCATCGTCTGCGTGTGACCAGCAGCCCCCTTGCCCGGGCACCAGACACACCCCTGGGACCCCTGGCCCTGCAGGGGCCAAGGCATGGCCCCGTGAAGCCTCAGTTTGCACCGCTGTCCCCGCCTCTGCCCTGGACCTCGGAGGTTCCCAGAGCCCAGCATGGGACGGGAGCAGGACTTGATCCTTGCCGTCAAGAACGGGGACGTGACTGGCGTGCAGAAGCTGGTGGCCAAGGTCAAGGCTGCAAAGACCAGTGAGTACCTGATGTCCAGGCTGTCAGCTAAGACATATCCCTGCGTATTCAGGTTGTAGAGAGGAGGGAGGGAGGGACATGACAGGGATATGGGCACTCAGAAGGCCTGCTTTGTTTTAATCGAAAAAGTGGGAAAACTAGAGAAGTCGATAGGTTCTCTTACTGTGTGTCCCCCAGGCAAATCATTTGACCCCTGTGGCCTTTGATTTCTCCTCCCGTGAAGTCAGCTGGGTGATCAGGTGTACAATTTGAGAACCTCGAGTCTGGGGGTGTTGAATAGGAAGACGTCTCGCTTCTCTTCCGAAGCTGCTCGGTCCCCACCACCGGGCTGGGCAAGTTAGAAGGGTCTTAGAGGGCAGGGGAGTGTGCCCCCGAATTCCAGCTTCGAAAACTGAAGCCCAACTGGCTCTAGGGTGCAGTCCCCCAGAGGTTCAGAATTTCTTCAAGGTAGTGTCAGATTGCCTAATAAGCGACGTAAGCACGGGCTTCCTTGTGCTTATTTACTCATCTGTAGGGAACAACTTCACATTTCCCCAGCACATCGAAGATTCCCCTTCTAGGTCTGGCAGGCATCTCTCTCTCCCCCACCCCTACCAGACCCTTCCTGCAGAATCAAAGCCTCTTTCCAAATTTACCATCCCCGACAGGGGCGGAGGGCCCAGTAAGCAGGGTAAGCACAGGTTGACTTGTGCTTACTTACTATCTGTAATGAATAAACACTAATCAGCCCGTGCTTACCTTGCTTTGGGTCCCAGCGGGGGGCAGGAGGCGCTGTCCGTACACAAAGGTGCTGACGCGCCGCCCCAGCCCTCTGTTGGAGCCCCTTCCCGCGGCCCGAGGACCCCGCCGACGCCGGCGCCGCGAGCCGCTCCAACAGCGTCCGCTAGGTGGCACCATTGCTCCGGGTAGCGACTGCAGCGCGGTGACGGGCACCGGCGGGGGTCGCTGCGGGAGTCCCGGGACGGGAGAGGGGGAAAGAAGAAGGGGGGCTACCCATGAGACTGTAAACCTTTACAGGAGTAGAAAGCCCCATCTTTCTCCCATGGAGTGGCTGGTGGTTTCAAACTGCTGACCTTGCGGATCACAGCCCAGTGTTTAACTTGTACATCACCAGGGCTCCTTAGCACCTGGCAGTAGCTGGGAATACTCATTGGCTCAGAGGGCAGGTGGGTGGCTCCTGTCCCTGGAGAGAATGGCAGATACCTGGTACTGCAGGAAAGTCACAGTGCCTTCAGTCAGCAGCAGCTGGTAGGCCTCCTGGATGGACAGTGGCAGGTCTTGGTGAAACAGCTGGATGGAGCCCTGGAAGTGGGGGCCAGCAGCTCAGTCTGTGAGCCGTCCCTGTGGTGTGTAGCCACAAGGGGTGGCTTCTTAGCTCTGCTAGGCCAACTACACCTCCCACCCACATCCCTGCAAGAAGTGGCCCATCAGGAGAGGGCTCTGCGTCACTAATTTGGACCAGACTCCTGCTCTCAGCATGGCCCGCAATCGAAGCCAGATATAAGCTTCTTGGAAATTCGGTTGTGTGCACTTCATTCCGGATTCCTGGGTCCCAAGCCCTCTCCCACCTTCCCTGGCCCCACTTACACACTCCAGCAGATACAAAGCTTCCTCCGGGTGAAGCCGCTGTCGGCCCTCCGCTGAGAAGCCCATGGTCTGCCAGAATTTACCCTGTGGGGGGCCCAGAGAAAGTGTCAGCCAGGGGTCTGGTGGGCAGCGAAGGCGGGTCCCCTGTCCCCCATCCTGACTGCTCACCGCGGGGGACTTCAGCTCCACGAAGCCTTCTCCTGGTCTCCACTCAGCGGCCACCAAGCTGCCTCTGGCAGGAGTGGTTGGAGGTCATCTCAGTGGCCCGAGGGGGATCCTCCCTCCAGCCCGGCCCGCCCCCCACCCTCCCACTTACAGGCGCTCCACGCGCTCCTCCGCCAGCAGCTGCCAGAGCTCCTCGCGGCACTGGCGCAGCCGACCGGCCTGGGCCTCCGAGCCGTCGGGGAGGAAGTCCTTGGGGCCATGCGAGCGTTGGGGCAGTTTCTGGGGCCGCGCGCGGGCGGCGAACAGCTCCCGGGCGCTGGGGAGGAGGGGTACGGGTCAGCGCCGCGCGGCCCGGCCGCCTGACCCCTCCCCAAGGCCCGTGAGGTCCCACGCTCCCCGCCCCTCCCGGCCGCTCGCACCTGAGCCGGCGCCCGGCCGGAACCTGCACGTCCGAAGAATCGGCATCGCGCTCCATCGGGCCGCCATCTGCGGCTGCGCGCGCGCGCCCCGCCCACAGCCCCGCCCACCCCCCGAGCTCCGCGCGGCCCTAGAGCCCGCCGAGGCAAGTCACGCTTCGGGAGCCGCAGGTCGCTCCCTGGGCTTCCGCCTTCCGGGTAGTTCTGGGTCCTAGCGCCGTCCCCACACGTCTGCCTGGACTCGCGGAGCGGAGCGATCCGTAAACTCCTGGGCGGTTCGACGCCCTAGCGGCGGAAAGACCTGACGATCGGCTCCCGTGTAGATCCAAATTCCAGACCAAACCCGATGCCGTGGATTCGACTCCGACTCACAGTGCGCCGAGAGGAAAGAGTAGCACGGCCCCATAGAGTTTGCAATGCCGTCATTTTACTCCTGGGCCGCCAGCCTC